AAAAAATAATGAAATGGAAAGCCAATTTAAAAAAGAAAACATAATAAATACAATTAGAAACCGAAGACTTCAGTGGGCCAGTCATGCTAGACGAAGCTAGAACAACATAATAAGAATGATTATGGACGAGAACCCAGTTGGTAAAAGACCACTAGGGAAACTTCGATTAAGGTGGGAAGATATGATAAAAAAAGACGTTTTGGCACTGAATGGAAGACCTAATTGGAAAGCACGAGCTTTGGATAAAGAAGGCTGGAGAATTGGATGTGTGACAGGATGGTCTTAATGGCCGACAAACCCCAAAGAAGAAGAAGAAGTATGAGTTTTCAAAGGTAACGATTGTTTATTTCCAACTATTATATGTGCATTACAATATATTACAGTGGATGAACCATTTGATAGTAATATATCCTCAGAGGCAAATTATTTATTAAAAAACTTGGTAGAATTTAAAACTATATTAATAGCTCATATTTTCTTAGATATATTTTATTTTATCAGACTTACATCTGATTACTTACAAACAAAAAATCTTGATTTTGTATCAGCATTTAAATGATCGAAAGAACCAAAAATGATATAAAAACTATTTAATTTTATAATGTTGTAAAAAATGCTGAGCGGTTTACTACAAATATGAATGACAAACTTTCGAACTTAAATATACCAAATTACATAGTCGTAGAAGAGACTTTTCCAGAACATCATATAAGAAGAAAAAAGACATACTTTGATAAAAATATCCAAGATTTCACTTTTTCAACAAGCCTTGATCAGTATAGAGCTCAAACATTTCAGCATATTATTAATCAATTAAATATGAGCTTGAATGAAAGGTTTTCTAATAATAAAGAATTAATTGCTGATGCACAATTCTTACATACTAGTTGTTTTAAAGAAGATTTTATACTATCAATTCCTGAACATGGCTTACAGAAGTTGGCAGAATTAGTAAGTGTTGACCACAATAAATTAGTTGATTTAAGTTTGTGGTATATATGATCAAGAGCTGAAGCTTTTGACATTATAATACTTATCTGATATTTTTTTTTTATTCGTTTGAGATGGTAAATTTTACTATCTTAATAGAATCTGAGTCATTTCCTCTTTCTTGCATGCAATTTAAAAAACTCTTTATTTTATTTATTGGCAATTGACGCAGTGGCATATTTTTTACCTCCAAATGTTTCAGTAACTGATTCAAACGGTTCTACTACTTTCACCAAATCGCTCATATTTTTAAATTTATTAGACGTTATAAATCACTTATCTGTTTTTATTTTTGGATGTTACATTATTAATTGAAACTCGATGTTGTAAAATACTTTTAATCATTAAATACGTAATATTCCACATAGTTATCAATCTTGGATTAGCTCACTTATATTTTCATTACATTTTTCTTGTTCCTTATCAAATTCATGTTGAGCTGACGAACTTCGATTAAAATGCGCAACAATTTCTCTCGACTTGTTCGTTAATGTTTTTACTGAAACATTTTGAAGCCCGACGTTCACAAATAATTTAATAGTATGTGCAATTCATCTAATTAAATTATCCTGGCCTATGTCATTAATAGCCTTCACCATATTAACCGCATTGTCACTGATTATACCACACACTTTAAGTACGATCAGGGCCGGCGAAAGCTATGGGCGACCTGGGCGACTGCCCAGGGCGCCAGCACGGAAGGGGCGCCAAACTGAAAATTATTTTTATTTAATTTAACTTTTAAAAGGCATTAACAATCTATACAATTTGAAATATTCATTTTCATTATCTAATGTCGTTTTAGTTGAAGATCAGAAGATGCAGATGCAATTATCTCATTTTAGTCATATTTGTAGAATATAAGAATGTAACAGGGCATGTGCATCGATACCGCTGGTTTTGATGTAAAAACTAAAAATAATGCACCAATCCATGGAACTATGGAAGCATACCACCGCATATTTATGTGTCAATAAAATATATAGATGGTCGTAATAATTATTTTTATATTATAATATTTACCCATTTATAAATAAATTCATATAACTAGACGTCTAGACGATAACGATTCGTTAGAAAAACCGCGATGATAAAACCCATTCGGACCTTACGGCGAAAATACCGCAGTGTAGAGTAAACCAAAAGACACAATTGCCTGACACACACTAGTACACTACACGTCTACACACACAAAACACAATTATTTATTGTTTTCGATAAGCTCTCGCTTCGTATGGTCTGCTGTCAAATATTATAAACTAACAAGTAACTGCCAACAGCCAACAGGTAATTAATATTCATATATTTTGTTTAGTACATTTTTACATAATATTTTGGTTTCTTTTTAAAATAAATTCCGTTCGCTGGTTGTTTTAATAAATAAGTAGTAAGTGAAACACAGTATTCCTATATTATAAACAGTAGTGGCGTGAAATAATATTATATATTTATATTTGATTTGATATTTTATGTTAATGAATATACTATGATATAATATAATATATTATGATGATAATAAATAATAATTAATATATGGCGCAACGGTCGATATAACGTGATGAATCGCACATTCACATATTTATTATTATGAAAATACTTAAACACGTTTTCCCAGTATCTATAAATTTAATATAATATTATAATATTATTTTCGTCTTACAATTCGACAGCAGCCTATAATATAATACATTCGGCTACGACGTTGTGGCTATATACTATAACATTATAGAGTATGTAATGATTGCAATTGCACAATAATTCGTGCGATCTATTGATTATTTATAATAATACATACCTATAATATTTTAATTATTGAATTAAATTGAAATTATTGAATTTCATATTACACACGATAATTCAAATAAGTCTTCTCTTCTTTTTCATTTTATCATAAAATATTATTTTTTTTAACCTAAATATGCAAATATAAATAAATAAATAATTGTAGGTAAAATAATTGATACCATGCCGCCAAAAAAAGATAAACCTTCAGGAGCCCAATATCGAAAGCGTAGAGCTCAAGCTCAATTAGAATTAGAAAAAAATGCAAAAATGATGAACAAATATTTTAAAAGTAATAGTGGAACCTGTGAAACATCTACCTCGACATCGGATGCTAGAAATAAATCAATAAATGATATAGAAGAAAATATTTCTAAGACTCATGTTAAACATAATAATGAAACATCTACTTCGACATCGGAGG